CAAGTGGGTGAAACTGTATGGGTCGATGTTACATTTCTGGCAAGTGCCCAGTTTACTGGTGTTATGTAGAATCACCCTGTTCTTAGGAGGTACTTGTGAAGAATTTAGGGATGATGTATATGATACCGTGTGCGTGTGTGTGTGTGAGAGATGATTAAACAAATGTGACCAGATGTTAATTGCTGAATGTAGGTGAAGGATGTTTATTGTATGGAGATTCAAAAATCTTCCAAATAGTAAGTTGGGATAAAGAGCTAATTAGAAATTAGCAGGCTAAGGTCCCAGAGGAAAAAAAGCAGCTCGTTTTTCAACTCTGAGTAATTTACCTACGATGTGCAGGTGTGTCTAACAGTTTACGGCACCGTAAGGTGCAGGTATGTAGGGGTATGCCCAGCATGAGGGGCTGTACCGAGGGGCAGTGTGGCTCTACCGACGGTGATGGTAAACGGTTCATGCAGTTTTCATGTCACACTCACCAAGGGCAGGCCTGGGAGGTGAGGCCGACGAAGGGACTGGGGTCCCGCGTGTGTCATTTCCATCTCTGTAATCGTCATACTGAAATCAAAGCAAATGATTTTAATGAAGGGGTTGTTAGACGTTGGTTCTGGGCGCACTAACTAGAATGTCACACCCGCAGGAAGGTGTGAGACTTCGTCTGAGCTTGACAAGGGTGGCCGTGACGACCGTGGCTTGTTGGGCTTCCAGCAGTGGTAGGAAGAGGTGTCTTAGTAAAATCAGGGAGTGCTGTCCACATGGCCACCACCTATCAGCACACGGCCTGCCGCTTTAGGGTCCAGGCACTTCCGGCCCTTAGAGACAGGCCTTTCCCCGAGACGGCGGGGCAGGCGAGACAGGCACCTACACCCGATGCCAGCCCCGTCACTCAGGGAAGGTGGCAGGTGGAGCCATCCCTTCTCTAATCACATAGCTTAAAACCTCTCCACCCGAGGGGAGGGCCCTCCTGAATTTCTGCGAGCCCCCCCAGAGCCCAAGGGGCAGTGGAGGATGCGCCTGCCCATTCCGTGAGCCCACAGCCCTGGTGGACCTAAGCGTTTACTTGGGAAGAGGAGACTGCGAGCTTGTGGATGCACTGGTTTAGAAACGACGGCTCAGAATGCCCTTTACAGGCTCCGTGGAGAGTGACCGGAACCACGGTCACGCTGTCCCTTGGCGTCATGAAAACCACGGTCACACTGTCCCTCGGCGTGTCTAGTTTATGGTTTAATTACGTAAGATGAACTCGGGGAAACAGATTACCTCTGAACACCCTTTATCTTGTAGCAGTGAGTCCACTTGGGTCAAATATTTCCTTCTTAAGTCATCTTTCAAAGGACTCCAAGGCACTGCAGGCTGATACAGAAGACAAGTCAGCACTTCTGAGAGCTCTGGGGGATGGGTGAGCTCTTGGATTCTGGAATGAACTGGCAAGCTCATTAAGGTGCAAATGTTTAAATGCTGTTCCTCAGGCCCTTCCTGCTGGTACCAGTACCGGGTAGTCCAGCCCCTCTGAAAACCCGCCTGGCCCAGGACTCTGACTCTAGGGAATTTACCAGCGGTAACGACCCCCAAAAAGGAAAACGACAAAAAAATACAAGTCTGCAGAGGTTTACGACAGCATTATTAGTACAACAAAAAAACACGTAAAACAATCTGAACATTCTTTGGTGAGTCCAGGACTCACCCACCAGAACCGACCCCAATCGCTATACTTTATAAGAAGGTCAGTGTTCCAACTCAGGGGGGCAGGAGTGGGCGCCTCTATCTGTCACTTGCCATGTACTGGAGACAGGGGGCCTTAGTCTACTCCCTCTGCATCTGAGTGGGGAGAAGCAGGGACCAGGGACACAGATGGGGGGTCACGGACACGCACTGTTCCATGTGCTCCTAACTATGGGACCGCCTACTTCCCCTTGGCCGCCACCGCCTCTGTGCAATACTTCAGAAAGCACCGCTTCCCTCCCCACGTCAGGACCTTGCTCTGATGAGACGTTCGAAGTCACGCGTGGGTGTAGGAGCAAACCTCTGCACAAAAAGCGGTTGCAGAGAAAAACCACATTCCTGCCATCTAGCACCTGCCGCAGGGGCCAGGTAGGACGCTCAGTGGGCCGCGGCCCGCGTGTATCGCCCACCCCAACGCAGAGGGAAGGGGAGAAGCAGATCCTGTAAGGAGACAGGTGGTTTCCGGGACCACCGCGGACAGGCGCAGAACAACGGCCTGCCCCAGTATGTGACCTCGGGACCCAACGGGCTTTAAGGGCTCAGCCGGAAATGCTCCATAGGACACCTTCCTCGTGACATGGCCTCCGCAGGGAAAGACCGACTTAGAACCCAACTTTCCACACTGTGTCCTCGATGACGGTGAATGGCACACGGTGGACCATCCGCCTTTTCTCTCTGCAGAGGGAGCATCATCCAACCTGTGTCAGTCCAGAAAAGCGGGCTGGGCTGGTGAGCGACTGGATGCCTTTGGGGGGGTACCAGAGATGTGAGGGGTGGGAATGGCAAAAAGCGAGCCTCGGAGGACTTCAGGAAGGCAGGGGTGACGAGGGCGTGCACTCGCACCATGGTCCCGACTGTCCCTCCATTACAAAAGGCGGGCCTTACCATGAAGGTCCCAGCACCCACGTCTTCCCGGGACAAAGATGAGCCAGCATCGCTGCTTTCCGAATCTAACAGCAGAAAAGAAAATTTCAGTCAGAATTTTTAAGAAAGCTTGCATTTTTCTCTCAAGGATGGTTTTCCTGTCACTTGAGTAGGTTCTACAGTAAAGCTTCCCATTGCTTCAAGTGTGCTCCCTTCAGGAAGGACATGGCCACCTGTCACTGTTCCCGATCGCTGGTAATGCAGAGAGCCAGTCAGGATAGGAAGTGCCTCAGGTGGCAGAGAAGCAGCTTTTACATCACCTCTGCCTCTTCCAGTGACCGCACATCCTCGAAGCTGAGTCGCTCTAGGCCAGCAGCATCGACAGGACTTTCTGCAGTGAAAGTTCTCCACCTGCTGGCCAGCGTGTTAGCCACTAGCCACACAGGGCTGGTGAAGACTTGGAATGTGGCTAGTGAGGCTGGGGAGCTGAATTTAAAACTTTATTTAATTTTCCATTAATTTGAATAGCCAGAGATGGCTAGTACTTCCACACTAGCCAGTGAATAACCATTTCTAATTCCTTCAAGTGATCTGGGACATTTGTGGACCTACAGGTGTATGGAGGTAACGTGTGGATTAATGCCAGGGGACTAATGACATCTGTGAGTAAACATCTTCGCTAAGGCCACCCGTTTCCCTGTTAGAACACGACCCAGAGCAGGTGAAGTGCCGGCCGGGGGCTGGGCGGAGTGGACGAAGGCTCCGGACAGGCCAGTTCCAGCGGGATACGGGTGTTTAAGACCCATTACGAAGTCTGTGATCACGCAGCTGTTTCGCTGCCTCCAGGAGAAGGGCCGGACGTAAAGAGCTTAGGTAAAGTGGAGCTCTGATTGGGGGTTAGGGGGGTGGCCTCCTGGGGGCAGTGAGAAGACGGTGGGCAGGCCAGGCATGGCGCGGGCTCTGCTTTGACCCAGAGCGATGGGAAGCCATTGCCGTGCTTCGGACAGGGGAGAGGCATGACCAGGTGGATGATGGAAGGTGTGAGGGAGCCGGGAGCTGGCACCGTGGGGGTGCAGCGGGGGCCCCGAGCCGTGAGAGACGGTGGGAGACAAAGGACACAGGGCATTGATGTCCTGGATGTGAGGAGCGAGGGAGGGACCGAGATAAGGAGGACGCTGGCTTTCTGGCTCATTCTAGAGGGAAGGCGGCGGTGGGCCTCGTGCCGAGGACAGCTCTGTGGGTGGCTGTTTCAGTTTAGACGAAGTTCTCAAGGAGAGAGGCCGTGAGGCAGCAGACATAGCCGGACGGGGTCTGAGTTTGGGGTTCTGCCAGCGTGAGGGGCTCAGGCCAACTCTCGAGAAAGGGCGCCCTGCGAAGGAGGGAGGTGGGCGACAGGGGGCTGAGGAGGAAGGAGGGAGGGAGGTGGGAAATCCCAGGGCACAGTGCTCCTGAGGCCAAGGCCAGGCTTTCCGGGGGCCGCGAAGGCCTCCATGGGAACAAGAAGGAACAAGGACGAGCGACTGCAGAGGCAGGAGGGTCTGCTGCGGGGTAGGGGGTTCATGCCACCACCCCGCAAGGGCACGACTTCGTCTTATTAAATTCTTGAGATTAATTTTTTTTTTTTGCAAAAAGTTAAAAAAATGGTATGGGGGAATGAGGCCCATGCATTCATTATTTTAGAATATTTGATACCATTTATGTGCTAAGTGTCATGGATGTAACTGTGAGCAAGACAGCCCGTCTGGGAGCTTAGAAGGAACAACAGGACACTTTAAGATGTTTCGGTTTTTAAAACAGACCACAGAAAAAGTCGCAGCGAGGCATCTAGACTCTAAATGTTGTAACGGAGACATGTTGGGCCCAGTCCCTTCCGACCTCTCTCTCTCTAGCCCAGGGGACACTCACCCACTCCCGGGTCTCGCGTGCAGGGCGCGGGCAGCTCGGGACCTGCGGCTGTGGCTTGCGCGGGGCCCTCTCTCCTGCCGACAGTCTTCGCGTCCTCAAAGTGCGGAAGGCGATAAAGACACGCTCGTTTCAGTCAGGACATACATCGGAGCCACTGTAAAGTACCAAGCCTACAATCCCCACTTTAACACTAGGCTCCTCTCCCTGGACATCCCGGATAAAGGCCTTAGAACTCCTTGCAGACGGCCGAGATTCCCCGGGGAAAAGGAATCGGTCTTCCCCGGCTCATGGCCAGGGTCTAACTTCAAAGGCCACTCAGATGGTGAGTGGTGGAGCAGGGAAAGTGGGGGGTCAGGAGCAAGTGCAAGGGGCTGACTTGGCCCACGTGTGACGGCAGATGAAAAGCCCAAACGAACTTATGCAGGTGGAATGCATAAGTTCGAGAGGCCTTGGGGGGACTTTGTGTGACCACGATAATGTGTTTATCTCAATGTTGTGGGGTCGACGACTCCTCCATAAGCTCTAGCAGGTGGTGTGACCCTGTGGGCAGGGGGGGGTCAGCGGCCACTCTGGAGGGGGCCACGCCTCCGCCCTCCAGGGCCTGATCTACACATGGCTTCGCGAGAAGTCATAATGAATGCCATCGATAGTCTCTCATAAGTGACAGTCGAGAATTCAAGGTACCAGATAGGCTAAGATGTTTCAGGAACCACCCCAGCCCCGTGAGGACAGGAAGAAGTGATGAGGCCTCTTCCTGCAGGGATGGCTCAGAGGCGTCGCCTCTAAGAGTCTCGGGGTTTCGGGGCTCCCCGTGAACACTGGGTAACTGAATCCTGCCTGTGCATCTTACGGAGCTGTTTTGTGGCAGGACTTGCCAGGACAATGTCAGTGGGGGTGTAGACGTCCGAGCTCTCACCACGGACCACGCCCAGCTTTCTAATCCCAGGAAAGGGGTTTAAAATTCTGTAGACCCCAGATGGGGGTATTCCCACATTTTAAGCAAAAACCTTAAATAAATGTCCAGATGACAACATTTTGTCACCAGGACCATCAAGCATTGGTCTGATTGATGGGTATCATTAATTAATAAGTATAATCGAAAGAATAAATATCCTTTGACCTAATAATCCCACTTCTGAAAAAAGGGTGAAATCAATACTAGGAAGAGATCAGGATGATTTTCTGAGTATTTATAATGGGGTCTTATCAAGTTTTATGGGTCCCCAACCATGCCCAATAGTTCATGTACAGTCTACGGCCGACTTCCCCTTACAACAGAGCTGAGAAGCTATGACAGAGACCACATGGCCAGCAAGCCTCAAATAGTTATCATCTGGCCTTTACAGAAAAAGTATAAATCCTGATTGATAATACAGGTGAAAATAGCTTAAATGCCTGCCAACGAGAGAGCGGTTAAAAAAAAAATGATCGAATTATACAGTGAACAAGGAATGTTCACAACATATATTAAGTGGAGAAAAGAAGGTAATTGTGTGTACTTATATATGTGTATTATAAAGAGGAATCACATTTCACTAAAATATCATTAGTGACTATCTAGAGAAGTCAGGTCAATTTTAAGTACGTAGTTATGTGTATTTCTAACATTTCTATGACTGAACGTGTTATGTGTGTAGTTAAAGTAATTAATCAGGAGGAAATCTGACTTTAGAACTGCTGATAATCGGGTTGGAACCCTAACCCTGAGGTTTTCACTCTTGGGCACAGGCTCCTTGGCTGAGAAGCGGCGACTAAGCGAATACCCAACGTCCCTGCAGTGGTCACTCTCACGAGACTCCGCAGCAGGCAGGCTGCAGTATCGGCACCTGCCACGGACATGACAGATCACGCAGCTGCAGTGCCCCTAGATAAACTCTGGGTTTTGACAGGTAGCCCAACATGGGCGGAAGGAAGCCTGATCCTGAACACAGCGCCCTCCTCCTTTCGGAAGAAGAAAAGAGGCATTTTTCTTTCCCAGAAGGATCTAAACTTGGTGTTTTCTGGGAGGACCCAACTAGTAAGCTCGCAGCTGTGGCTGAAGCTGGCTCGGCTTTGCACGTGGGGTCCAGCTGTCTGAGCCCCGTGGCCTGAGGCGGAGGAGACGGGGACGGGGCAGGGAACAGAAAGGGCTTAGGCATCACACAGCTTCTCCTTGCACAGAAGAAACGCTGCTGAGTAAATCCTTAAACATAGGAAAACAGGGTGGTAAAGGTGAGAAAACTGGAGGAAGCGCCCCCCAGTGGCCTCCAGCTCTCGGTGCCGTTACAGCTTGCCTGCGCCTTTATTCACGTCAGCGTCCCTCCCCCGCAAGGCACCGCGGCGATAAAATGTGACACTGAATACCTGGGTTTGTCCTTTGTTTCTTTTCTTCACTAGTTTTCCACCCCAAACTTTCAGTCCTTAAGAAAAAGAAATGAAACAAAAATGGTCACTTATGTAATCCTAAATACCGAATTTGTTTAATCTACATTCAAAGAAAACCAAAGTGACGGGCAAAAGAAAGTCATATTATTAAAACAGAGCCATTTTTCTAACTTTCTGTCATTTACCATCTTTGTGAGGTTGAAGGTTATTAAAAAAAAATCAAGATTAGACAAGAATCTATTGTCAATGAAAATCTCTCCCACCTGGTGGGCAGCAGCTGGTCAGATTCTGTCATTAAGCCGCAAAGTGCAATGGGAACAAGGAACATGTGTAGATCAGGTACTGGCCTCTGGACAGATGCACAGAGGGCGATCTACATACTACCTGGAGGGGGAGAGAGAGCGCTTTCGAGGGCCATCTCCCTACCCAATGCACAGAGTAAGTGCTTTCTGGGGGCCATCTATGCATTTCGCATATCGAGCAAGTCCTAAGCACTGGGAGGGGAGAGACGCTGAGTTCTGGAGTCCCGCCATTTACTAGTTATAGAACATGGGCAAGATTCTAAATCTCTTCCCAAACCGTCATCTGCTCCCAGATCAGTGCAAGTTAATCAGAAGAGATGGCTGGGTTTCGAGGCTTGAGATGATTGTTAATGATGACAATAACAAAAACTCCCATGGGTGCTTTCAATGTTCAAGCTTTATTCTAAACCCTTCCAAGTGCACCTTAATCTTCTTAAAAACTCACTTACATGTAACTTGAATTGACGCCTACCTGACCCCTTAAGCATAGGCAGTCGCCAAGTTCATTGCACAGATGGAGACATAGCAGGGTCAAGTAACCAGCCCAGGCCACTTGACCATGTGGAGGAGCCATATAGTGAACCCAGGAGTGACTGTGCTCCTGACCACGAAGCCACACAGCCTCTCCAGAACAGGACGATGCTTGAGCATGCGTGCTTGGAATCAAACCCATGCTTTATCCCTTTAGCCAAGCGACAAGGAACAGGTTTCTTCTGCTATGGCCTCTGCTAGGAAACAAGGATGATTCCAAAAACAGTGCCTACCTCTCAGGGTTCAGAATCAAAACCATGACACTCTTAGAAGCACACTCTTAGCTGTCAACATATACGAACCGCTGTTCCTTTCCTGCTGCCTTCATCGTTATCAGTGTGGGAGTGTTGGTTCCAGTCTGTTCCCTCACTGGGAATTCACGCTACAAGAGTGGTCAGCTGGCATTCATCAGACGGGCCACTCTTCAGGCTGAGCAACAGGTCCAGGGCCTGTGCTGGCATCAGCTAGGAGCCTGTTCGCTCGCAGGCCTGCAGAGTCAGCATCAGCATCGCTGTCTGGGGACCCAGGGTTGTTTTAACAAGCTCTCCAGATGCTCTTCTCCACCCTAAAGTGTCACCGCTCTCAAGGCGTAGGTGCTTTGATTATTGTTCTCATCAAAATGGGGGTCAGAAATGAGTTTTCACTGGTGAAATTTGTGTTATTTGATCTGTGAACTGGCCAGAATATTTCAGACTCTGCTCATTCTTAGCAAAGCTTGTAGGAATAATTCCTACATAACTCTATGTCCTGCCCTAGGGTTAGTTGTCACTGCCTGTGGCAGACCAGTGAGTAACAGGAATCTGCAGTTGGAATCCCTCAGTTACTGCTTGAGGAAACTTTTCACCCAAGGTAACGCTGGGTCAGCAAAGAAGGGAGGCAGCTAGGACTTCATTTAAAGAGCAGTTCTTATGAAGTTTTTTGTACCTGTCTACCCAACACACAGCAGAACTGGATCTGAGATTTGCTTTTGTCAGTAATAATGAATTGGTAATAAGGCTGAATGCGAAGAACTGACATCACTCAGTGCAAACTTTCTCCAGCTCTTTAACCAAAGAGAATCCATGAGATTTAAGTCGGTCTGCAACACCACCCATGAAACAGAATGGCTCCTTCTCCCTAGATTTAGGCCAAGGCCCAAGTATTCAGAACCTCAAGGACAGTTATTGCTCTGAGTCAACAGTGTTTACTGGTGCAGGGCACTGTTCCAAGAGCTTCACAAGCGCTCTCATGGAACTGTCACAATCTCCACACCAGGTAGATATTATTGTCATCATCTTCCTATTTTACAGATGAAGAAACTGAGACATAGCCTGGCTATTAAAGCAACCAGCCCAAGCTGACATGGTTTATTAAATGGCCAGCTGGGGCACTTTTTTTTTTTAAATCAGGATGCATCTGTCTTCAGAATTGTTTTAATAAGTAATTCTGTTGGGAATAAGTAATTTAAATAATTTATAGGGTCAAGGGGACTAGTTATGTTTTAGTTCCTATTAAGTGTATTTTCATTAAGAGAGCAGGGACAGCATTCAAACTGTAGGAAGACACTCTTATGTTGACACTCTTAACGGAAAATATTCAGAGGGCGGAATGACTCCCTACCCTGGGGCGTCGCGTAGGTCAGCGTGGACATTTGCACCAGTGGGGCATCCTCGAAGGGCTGGTTGTACTGCAGGAGAGAAAAGGGTGTCCCATCAGGTCTGAGGGTTGCAAGGAACCCCTGACCGGGGTTGCGGAGGCGCCCGCGCGAGGCTGGAAGTCTGGAGACTCCCCAACTCCTTCACCTGCCCCCGGACCCTAGACCCCTCTTCCTCTCTCCTTGCCCTCAGCCCCTGATCCCATCTTACCCCTCCCAGACCTCTCCCGCCCCGGTCTCCACCTCCCCTCCCCGCCGCTCCCCTTCTTACCACGGTCCCCAAACCCGTTTTCCCCTTTCCCGCCGGCCTGACGCCCCCCCGCCCTTCCCAGCGGGCCGGTGGGGGTCCTCACCTTCTCTAGCAACTGCTGCATGTGCCTCTGGAAGCGGTGGTGGCTGTCCCTGAGCTTCTGCAGCAGCGAGTCCTCCCCTGGGAACTCGCTTTCCATGGCGCCGGTAGGCCGCAATTGCGACACCCGCAGGAAAGCGTCCTGGGACCCCTTGCCCGCGTCCTGGTTCAAATAGAGGCTCCGCCCCCCGTCCGCCCCGCGAGCTGCCCATTGGCTGGCGTGGAGGGGCTGGGCGCTGATTGGGCCTTTCAAATACATCCGCGTCCGCTCCGCTCTAAGTGGGGGAGGGGGCGCCTCCGCGCATGCGCTCGGGAAGGGCGCGGCCGGCCCGCCGGCCCGCTGTCAGGGTTCCTGTTACCCCACGGTGCTGCGGCGGGAATCCTGGGAGGTCCGTACTGCTTCCCCTGTGGTGCGTGGAGATGTCCAGGTGACGTGCGCCCGAGCTCGCCGCTGGGTGGCGGCGGCCTCTCACCCCGTCGTCGCCCCGGGCCCTGCCCTGAGCCGGCTCCCCAACCCTGCCCGCCTCGGGTCCCCGCTCGGTGGCGAGAGCCGGGCCCAAAGAAGAACCTCCCCGCCAAATTACGAATACAAAAGAAGGCAGAAAAGTGAGCATACAGTTAGAAGTACCATAAACGTCACAGAATCCAGGGAAATATAATATTTTTATTAATCTCCTGGCACACCTTTTACGTACATATTTTTTAATGCATTCTCGGCCTCTTCATTGATACTACTTTTGTAATGTTTTCTCTAAAGTATAGGAAGATAATTCAGGGTTTCCTCGACTATGGCTGATTGAATTTTCCATATGATGCACATTTTAGAAAAGTTTTATTCAGCTTCATAACTTAGTCGTATTCGTGTGCTTGTGCCTCGGCTTGCACCCCCAATCCTATCACGCCATCCAGCAGAAATTAGGGGAGAAGGAGGGAGTGAGAAGAACCTCGGGGCTCACGTAGTGTAAGTGTCCAGGAAATGTATTGTGATGGATTCAGGTGTGCCACCCAGATCCGCCTTGAGAATGCCACAGCTGCTGGGAGGGCTGTCTGCGGCCACCTCGGGTGCTGAGGGTCCCTCACCAAGGGCGGTGCAGCCCCAGGGTGACCCAAATCCAGTGCCAGATCCAGGTAGGAGTATGGAGGCTGGGCCATTTCAGTCCAGAACGGGACAGCCCTGACACTCCCGACCGCGCCCCCGCATCTGCTAAGGCAGCATGTCCAGTCTCCATTCTCCCTGTCTCCCACAGGGGCCGGGCGAAGGGCGCTCCCTAATAAACATCCTGCACACTAGCTCTGTGTCCGAGTCTGCAGCCTGGAGCACCCAGCCTGTGACAAGGACCTAGCTGCAGACTGCACATTCTGTTTGTAGCTTTTCCAGTTTCACAAATCAGCTGAGGTTCCCTCCCCCGACCCCCGACCCCCGACCCCACCCCAGAGTTCAGAAACTTAACATGCTGTTTGTTTTCATGCTCACATGCAGGGGAGTTTTCAAGCATGTAATTGCTTGAAAGTAATTGTCATATTTAGAGACTTAAAGCCTTGGATAAGGTTTTCTTTTTCTTTTTTAAGGCTTGGAAAACTTTTCTGTGACTCTCTAATAAGCATGGTAGTGACACTTCTCAAAACTGGCCTCTCCTAGATCCTGGCCCCTTATTCCTAGGAAACCATTCCCAGGTTCCAGGGTGTCACTGACTGTCCAAGGATGTGCCTCTATCCCAGGAGCTCATGTGCAGGGTCAGGAGAAAGATTTCTCAATCTCAAGTTTATGTCTTGGCCAATCCCCTCTGAACCAGCCAGTGCCAACACACTGGCCCTTGTCATTCAGGCCAGCTGGCCTCCCAGTCCCCTCTGCCTGGCTTTCCCCATCCCATGGTTCAAACTGGTGGCCAGCAAAGGAAGGAATCCTGCACAATGCTCCCAATGTAACACCATTCCCTACAAACGCGGCTCCCCGTCACGCCCCCCACCTTTTGCACGCAGACACCTTAGCGGCCTAAACGTGACCTCAAGAACCCAGACCTGCTTCATAAACTGCCCCACCACTCCACACCTCCATGTAAGCTTCTTCCCTCGCAGCGGAAGTGGCAGGGTGCAGCACCTCTGGGTCTCAAGGGGTTTCTGCAGGCAGCAGAGCTGAGGCTGTGCTCAGCCCCAGTCAGGGTCTCCGCTTCTGGCTGCACCTGCACAGCACCCTCTGCTGTCATGGCCAGAATTTTCACCCCTAAGGGTTTAAAATGAAGTACATAAGAAATAATCCTCACGGGACTAATTTTATGTCTGCTCTCATAAAATGTGCCTGAATTTTATAACGTTTTACATAATACATGGGGACTTATTCTGCAGAGAGTTGCCATGCACATAATTTTATGTTGGAAAGGTGTGGAAATTTCACCACCTGTTTGTGGTTGGAGAAGCACAGCTTCTGTTTGGTCCCAGTGTTGACAAAAATTGCTATGTCGCAGCAAAAACGTCGGTCAGAGATGAATGATCAGCCACAAGCATCAAGCTCCATCCGTCAGGCTGCCAAGAAAAATGTTTACTTTCTTCTGTCACTCCAGGGTTGATGAAAACAAAGGGACTGTGAGATAGCTGATGACAAGCTGACTTTCCAAAAGGTGTCAGTCAAAGCTCACAAAGTGTGTGTATTCTTTGCTTTAATGAGTTTACTTTTGGGGATCTATCCTAAGTAATTAAGGACGTTGGTGAGGATTTAGCTGCAAGACCTTTAGCGAAGCGCTTTTTATAAAGTCCAATGACTAGAAAGAAGGTTGAGTAAATGGTGATACATATCTGTGTCACATTAACCACGGTTTTGAAGAACTATATTTAGTGGCATCCAAAATGTGCATGATTTTTCCTTAGTATAAATGGAGGTCACAAGCATGTATTATATATCTGCATTTAAAAATATACATCATATGCTTTAAATATCTAAGTATGTATATGCAGATCGTCTCCATGTTATCTCTGGATGATGGTAGTATGGATTATTTTTCGTATTAGTTTTTCTTAGCTGCATTTTCTAGAATGAACATATATTCCGCAGTTATGAGCATGCATTACTCCTGTAATAAAAAACACAGCAGAACCAATCATGTGTTTTTATTTTGGCTTTACAAAATTAGAGACCGTTTACCCAAATAAGACACACAGATGGCCCCAAACATTCTAAAACATTTTTTTTCATAATGATACCTCACCTCCCAGCTTCTACCTAGAAATGCTTTTTTCCCTGGGAAAAGTAGGGCCCAGCTCTCTCTGGTGAGGTTTCTACCTCAGTTTCACGTGGTGGGAAATTGCTTTTTATTCTTCGCTTTAGGCTTTTTGCAATACAAATACACTCTTAGGGTCATGATTAATGTGTTTTAATGGGCTATCCGTTTTAAAAATCAATGAAAAGAATTTACATTAAAAATAGAAGGCAATTAGATAGATTTGGCTGACCTATTTTTAATCAACCCCATTATTTATGGATCTGAAAAGTCTCAGGACCTCTTTCACTGGAGCAGTCAAGGATCACCTCTTCTGTTATTATGTGTGAATAATTTTAAAACAGGAGTCACCAGGTTAATTGATCATTTGCTAAGTACTTTTCAAAAAAAATTACCTACCTTGGAAATGTTCCAAGATGGCTTCTGCCCTTTCTTTTATCAGCCCATTGCAGTTCCTTCTTACTGCCCAAGGCTCACTGGAGTTAGTCTGAAAGGTACAGAAGACACTGTTCTGTTTTTTGAAAAGTTTTGGTGCAAATTAGCTTTTACATTAATACTGTTACACCTTCCCTCAACTGTCTTTACCTTTTTACATTCAACCTCTGTCACTATTGACTCTAATGTTCTTACTTCTTGCAAGAAATAAGAATTATTTCTGTGTCTCTTGTTTATCACAATTATTTCTTAACATTGTTATAGAATTTTTTTTTTTTAATTCTCATTTGTTTTCTTGTTCTAGATGTCTTGCTCATATCCCAAATTTTTTTCTGTTGCTGAATGGGATATATATATTTTAGAACGTTTTATGAATTTTCTTCATTCTATAGTTTTGACAGAATTTGACAAAAAAAATAACTCCCATTTTAATACCTACTCCTTTCTGTGGCCTGCAAATAGTATTTTTATCATATACTTGAATTTATTATGAAAATTTTTATTCTTCGTTTGCAGCCATTCCTCTGAAGTTATCATGAAATTTGCTGGGGTGCAGGGAAGAAGCCTAAGAAACCAATGGAAAATGTTTCCTTGACCTGGAGCATTTGGAAGTCACTTGCAGTAAGTGTCATTGAGCCTGACAGTTCCAGAGGGAACTGTGAACTTCTTCCTTGAAGGGTTCTTGGAGTTTAAGTTAGTGCACTTAAAGGTATTGACATGCAAACTGAAATGAAGACAGCCTGTTGTGAAGGCCACGTGGTGATGGCTTTCTCCTGCCCGTGTGGATCCTGCTCATTTGTACTGTGGGTTCATGGTTCACCAGGCTGGGGCATCGTGATGGTTTATTTTATGTGTCGACTTGACTAGGCTATGGGATACCCAGAAAGCTGGTAAAACATTAGTTCTGGGTGTGTCTGCGGAGGCGTTTTCAAAAGAGTAGTGTTTGAATTGGGGACCTAGTGAAGCAGACAGCCTTCCCCAGCGTGAGCGGGCATCTCCCAGAGTGTTGGGGACCTGGAGAGAGCGAAAAGGCGGAGGAAGGGAGAATTCGCTCTCTCTGCCTGACCGAGTGAGTCTGGACTACTTTCCTCAGACTGGGCCTTAAACCATCAGCCCGCCGGTTCTTAAAGCCTTCAAACTCAGACAGGAACCAGCTCTCCTGGGTCTCCAGCTGGCAGGGGGCGGATCGTGGGACTTCTCGGCCTCCATAATCACATGAGCCATTCCTTACAAGAAATCCCAGATATTTGTTGAGGACTTTTTATGGTCCATCTTGGTGACTGAGCACTTAAAAAGAAAGTGTCTCATTGTCTGTGTCACTGAAGCCAAGTTGTTTGATTGTATTGTTCTGGTCTCTCATATCCTTACTAGTTTTCTGTCTTCTTCTAGCAATTACTGAGAGAAGAAGTTGGAATTTTCCAACGAAAATTGTGGATTTGTTTATTTCTTCATTCAATTCTGTAAGTTTTTGCTTCGTGTATAAAACTCTGCTGTTATCTACATTTAGGATTGTTATATCTTCTTAGTGAATTGATCACTTTATCGTTTTATTATATCCTCCTTTATCTCTGGTGTATTCCTGTTCTGAAGTCTAATTTGTCTGTTATTAATATAACCATTCCATCTT